TAAAGAGAAAGAGGGAAAGAGAGATCGCACGCGGTACAGCGACTCTCGGTTCAAGGCCCGACGACCGAAACCCGTTTTGTCACATCATACGCTGCTAAATGTATAAAAAATATCTATACTATCGGGACACAGCAAACACTGAAAATATTGGTTATGGGGGTTGATCAGGGTGGAAGGGTCTATGTCACACAGAGACAAGTTGGAGGAAGATTCGCGCGACACCGTATATATTACTGGGACGCGTTTCATAGAAACGCGTGTCCGGCGTACTGCCCCAATCCTTTACCTTTCAGTGCGTGACAGAAGAAGTGATGTACGTTATCGTACGAGACTTTGGTTTCTTGGGCGACCACTACGTGTCGCTGAGTCTAGGAGACGAGAAAAAACTTGTCCTTCAAACGAGCTGATCGTTTCGTATCGAGGAAAGGTTTACATTAGATTTCGTGCACCGAAAACGATATCAGGATCGAGAGAGACCGACAGAAATCCAATGGATTCAACTCGTCAAGAATATTCGACTTTTTTCGGTAAAAAGAAAATCCGAGGAACGTACCGTTCGCGAGTTTAGGGTGAGAGAGATGGCACCGCAGGTATTACCGCCGACGGTAAACGACGTCGTAAACAAAATCGTTTCCAGAAACAAGTCGAGATTTGTATTATCCACGAACACAGGCGAGACAAGCAAAGTGTATATAACGTTGGCACGCTTTTCGCAGTGTTTTTGGTGCCGATCGATTGCGTGAAAAATTACGAATGCACGCATGGACACACGTATGTAAATAGAAGTACGCATACAGAATATACGAGAGTATGTGTACCAATACAAAAAAATTACGATACGTATATATACATATAGTTATGTATACAGATATATAAATATATATATATATGTGTAGACAAAATTCTATGTCACTCGTTGCATGCGCTGTTTAGCATAATAGGATACGGGGTAAGCGGTGGTCGGACTCAACGTACGTCACTGCAAAATACCACATCGTTTTACTCGATTAGGCCAAGATAGATCTACAAAGCGTTGGACTGGTGTTTATCACGCGACTACTCCGTCGGTAATAACGAGACGGTTACTCGAAGGGTAACGACGCTACAGTTACGTCAATCGATAACTGCATTTCGGAGAATTTACCGTGTCTTGTGCGCGTACCCGTTTGCTATTCGCTTCGCGAAATCGCGGAAAGCTTTTGTCGTTTCTGTGCTTCCGTTATTTCCTCGCTGCGATTCTCAACGAGCTCGGTTGTGTGTTCTCTTCTTAAGTGAAACGCGAGAGGAAGGAAGGAATACGTACATCGACTCTACGAACGTTTCACAACACGGTCGCGTAAAAATACCACGAAGAAACGGCCGGCGCGAGCTGCGCTTGCGCAGACGCGTCGAGTGCCTTTCATAGATGTCAACGCGGTACGCAAACTTTCATCAAAAGTTCCCGTCAATCAAAGGCTTCTCATTCTTTTTTTTATTCCTTCGGAAGGGGGCAGAGGTTTCCAAAGCGCGACAAACTGGATCAGGAATCGTGGTGGGGCACAAGGGAACTTTTCATGCATCGGGCAGTACCACTGGAGCGGAAATAGCCGAGAAAGAAGTTGAACAGGAATTGAGGTTAGGCATTGAATACCAGGGGATACGGACAAATAAACGGATAGATTGATAGATAGACGAGAGAGAAAGAGAGAGAGAAAGAGTCAGACAGTTAGATAGATAGATAGAGAGAAACTGAAAGAGAAAAAGAAATAAAAGACAGCGAGCGAGCGAGCGAGCGGGGCAAATGAAGCATTACCTTGGAATGTTGAGCAGACGTCGGTGTTATAGGTGGCGTCTCTTCGGCGTCTACGCTCGCTGCTGTGTTTGGTAATCGCTGCTCTTGCACCGACGCCAAACTATGGAACACAGGAATAACGTTTTATATTTAACAAATGCCCGAGTTACCCATTTTTTGACCTTCCCGTCGTCATAGCTTGCGCGTCGTCCCTTCAACGGTACCTGAAGAATACGGCACGTACCGTTTGAGCGTCACGAGGGTACTAGTGAGCTTTTTGCAACGCTTCAACGCCGACTCCAATCGCTCTGGTTCTTCCTTCAGGAACTTTTCCGCCCGTACAACCATCTCCATCTCTGAGCTCAACAGCCCCTTCATACCCTCCTGTAGGCTCGGGAATCGCACCTTCAAGTCTGCCACGGTTTTACTAAGACGGAAGATCAAATCATGTACAACCATCTCATACGATTTTAATTTCACTCTACCTCCCTCTCTGTCTTACCTCGATTTACTCATTATCAAGGCCATGTTCTCCACATCCGACATGTTCACTCTCGTCTTCCTGTTGATGACATTGCCACGTAGTTCCTCCACCGTGTTTTCCAGCTCGCTGAAACCGTAGAAACGTGTCAATCATTGTCAAACGTATGTTTATACAAAGGGAACTAAGAGTAGAACTGAACACCTACGTTAGGTCTTTTACCAGCCTCAACATCTCCTGTCTGTAGAGGTCTTCCTCGCGGCTCAGTCGAATCTTCTCTGCGTCCCAGGCTGCGTCTCCACACGACAGCAACATTGTCCTACAAAGAACACGTGTTAGATACAGAATCAACTTTGGGGGTCTTCCCGCTAAAGTCTGTTGCGACAGGTATGCATAAAATGACGGTGGTGCTAAAAGGGATGAAAGAAAAAGGAAGGGGATTCGTTCTGGGCCTGCTAGTAGATTCATTAGTAGGCTACATAGTAGGCCGTCTTAGATAGGGATGAAATTGGAAAGTTTGGAAATTCTGTTTATAGGAAGCAGAGGGTTTACCGTGGTCTTGCAAGAAAATCCTCGAATCTCCTTGAACTTAGAATCCATCTAGTGGCGAGGATGAGAATGATGCCGTCAGACAACTATTAAACGATTCAATCTCTGCCTACCTGATGGTGATAAACGTATCCAAGATGGTCTCCCGTATGGTGTGAGCCTGGGCCTGAGACATACGTCTCAGGTTCCTAACTTCTTGCCTCAGATCCTTCGCCTTCTTCTGCAAGCCTCGCAGTTGATTGTACATTTCCGGTGTCAGAGCCATGTCTCGATAAACGTATTGACCGGCAACCAGCGCTGCCGGTTTCGGCGGTGGGGTCGGCTTGTGCCTGTCTCTCTCTGAAACGATTCGGTAGAGCGTCAACGACCATTGTCCCCGATGCTCGTGGATTTCGCACGACACATCGTGCTCACATGTACGGGTACAAGCGTCGGGATTTCCGCCCGTTAAACCGTGCGAAAATCGTCCAGCTTGATCGTCCTTTGATCCTCGTCTCCCTTACGATTGGGCCGAGCCGAGTATGGGAGTAGGAAGAAACGTGATTTGACAATTGGGGTGGGTGACTGATCGATGAGACTCGAGGGGTTCGCGAGTGTACACGAGCTGTCATCTATGACTATACACTGATGGTTCTGTTTGGGTATAGCAACGTCCAGGAAGTGGGCTTGTGGCATTATGGCTAAGTATTGGAACCTATGGTCGATTCGAGAGGTATAGCGAGGACGCGAATCGTGGCGCTGCAGAGTTATATTATTTTTAGGTTATGTATTATTATTATACGAAAATTAAGAGATGGAGAAATTGGGAAAGAAGTGAGAATGAGTAATATGAAAATAGAGATCTGTAAATGCATTTTTGTTTAGGTATCTCGGTTTAATGATTCTACGCGCTTCTAATTTCGGTTATGTAGCTAGCGGTGAACTAAGATGGAGCCACTGACATCGAAGTCTTTCGAGACTCTGTATAGTTCATGGTTGTAAATGTAGCAGGTGTTTTTAACCAATGGGTGATAGGAATTTTTAGAAATGATATAAGAATTTTTAAAATATGTAATATCTGATTATATTGGGAGTTCAAAAATTCGGGCAAGAAGTAATTTTGATAGAAAACATAGGTTTTTATTCAAAATTGTGAATATTGCTAAACAATAAAGACAAGTTGTTCCTTTGTATAGCGGTCCATTTTTAATAACCCTGAACTATAAGCTATCACGTTATCCTTTCTTTTTGTTGGCAACACTTTACTACACAAATGGCGCCAAATTCAAATCTTCCGTGAATTTTGGGACACCCTAAGTACGGTAGTACTATTCTCTTCTATTAGATCAGCGAATGAAAAATTACACAATAATAGCTGCTTAGCATGAATCGAAATTATACCTGTCTTTTTTTGTTATGTTAGTCAATAATGTTACGCATATTTTGGTATGCAGAAAAATTTCATTTATTAATTTAAGATAGATTAAGAAAGACATTTATTAAATAAATAAAATCTGTAGCAAAGGCAACACCACAAATAACAAAATTGGTTGAAGTAATCAGAAAATACAAATGAAAAAAGAATTTCATTTCACTATACATCACTTGTTAGATTTATATTAAAAAATGAAACGTATTTAATTTAATTTAATTCAATCAGTTATTTTTTAACTTTAATAATTTTTAATTAGTTATTTAATTTTTAAACTAAATATATTCATAAAAATTTGTACTATTTTTTCCAAGTATTCAGATATATATCAATTTCGAGAGTATATATCTAAGATATTTCCTAAAATAAAAATAACCTCCATCTTTAATCTTTTACCTACAATTTATGATCTTATAAATTTCAGCTACTATGAGGAACAAATATTAAAAAGAAAAGAAAAAATTATATAAAACATTTTTGTAGACTACTGTGCAATATATATTATGCAATAATATGTATGGCATGTATTTTGTGTGCCACGCGTGTTGTATATCAGCAAAATGTCGTGCCTTAAAAAGTACATTGTTATATAAGATCCAGATGACATACATACGAACAACTTGTTAAATAATTCTGAATCTACTCACAGAAAGAATGTACAAGTATCACACGATGAAAAACACATAAAATTGAAAATTACACGTGAGACTGATAATTTATATCCGAGTATGATGTACGTATGAAAGCTTCGTGTTATGTAAAACCGTAGATTGTGTTATGTAAATAATAATGATTTATGGATCATATTATACGACTGTTACCTGTGCTACATTTTTACCGAATACCGAACCGAATGACAAACGGGGAGTGAACTATAAGAAATGCCTATAAGCAAATATACAGAGTGTCCGTTTTATCTAGGAACGCGTACATATCACGACAAATATAGGTGAGACTGAAAAATGATTTAGGCAAATATCGTAGAACGAGACACGTATCGTGGTGATACTTATTTCATCAGATAACCTTGATGACCCTGATAATCTTGAAGGGTCCCATAAAGTTCAGTTTTGAATTTTCGAAATTAAAAAAATTTGTAAATTTTTTATTTCAGACACTCATTGTCGTAGAATCGTTTTCAAAATAATAATTATTATTTTTTGGAGTCGTCAATAGAGTCCAATAACAATCTATAGTTCTTCTAGTGCATTAAGAACGGTATTGTATTTTTAATTTTAAATATTATTTTAACATTTTTATAAATTTTAATAAAGATTGTGATATTTTTCAATAAAGGCTAAAACATTTTAGTCGTTAATTTATTTTTCCTATAGTTCTCAATTAATTATTCTTTAAAGGCTTCCTTTATCCGCTTGCAAATTTTTAATAATAAATTATTATTACTATACCGACATAATTGTTATATTATATATAATTTATGTATACTTTCATTTTTAAATAAATTATCTACACTATGTAATATATAATATTATGTAATATTATGTTATATTATGTATACTTTCCCATTACTTACTATTGTTTACTCTATTTACTCTACTCTATTTATTTCTTTTACTCTATTATTTCTATTACCCTATTATTTACTATTATGTATACTTAATATTATGTATACTTTTCTTTTCTATGCGAAATGTTATGTTAATGGACTACGGATCGTTTATGAAAATAATAATAATAATAATAATAATAATAATAATAATAATAATAATAATAATAATAATAATAATAATAATAATAATAATAATAATAATAATAATAATGCCTGTTCCAATTTCTGTCACAATTTCACCAATTCCCCATAAAAGTATCCATTTTGCAGTATACCCATACCCATAATTCAAGAGCAAATTAATTGACCCCACTGAAAGGGGGTGAAACCGTGCACAGATTCCTGACAGTCATTGCGTCAATGAGTGTCGCTATTTCACGTTTTAATTTACGATCTCGCTACGCACGATGGACGTTGCCATACTCAAAGGGGTTAGTCCGACCGAATTTAGCGTCTAACGCCACTTGTCACTCGTTAATGCGACGCCTTTCGCACGATCAAAGGGCGGCGGTGAGGGAAGGTGCACCGGGTGGGACCAATTTCGCTGTCATTTTTATCGCCACGATTTCATTGGGTCGACGATGAAAACCGTGGATGAGAATGAAGGGGACAGATGGACGGGAACGTATCGTGGACGACCAACGATCATGCGTCTACGATTTTCACAGGACGTTTTACCTACGAGTTATCCTCCCCAGTCCCAGTGTAATCTCCACGGTTACAGATAAGTCGTGCTATCGAGTCACCGAGGTGCGTCGTTATTATACTTCACGATACGTAATTTCCTGTGTCCCTCTGACACGATCAACGATAAGAAAATTTAGGGACATTTGGCGCCAAAATGTCGGTCGATAAGAAAAGCTTATCGATTCTAAATTTATTTCAGCGATCATTGAAAAATGCTGTATTTTATTTTTTTGGATGGTTCGTATTTTATTTTTGCGATCACCGAAAAGTTGTATATTACTTTTTCGATCATTGAAAAATGTTGTATTTTGTCTTTTATTTTTGCAATAATTGGAAAAAGTTGCATTTTATTTTCTTGGATGGATTGTATTTTATTTTTGCGATTATCGAAAAGTTGTACATAATTTTCTAAGTATTGGAAATTTTGTATTTTATTTTTGCGGTCATTGAAAAGCCGTATTTCGTCTTTATGGTCTCGAATGTTTTGTATTTTATTTCTGCGACCATTGAAAAGTTGTATTTTATCTATACAGTCACGAATGTTTTGTATGTTATTTTTGCGATCATTGAAAAGTTGTATTTTGTCTTTATCGTATTGAATATTTCGTATTTCATGTTTCCAATTACCGAAAATATGCAGAACTGCTTTTGATAAAGTTAATATTGATTTTTATTTAGATAGAAACGTTATTATACTGGTGCAATGATCGTGTAGCAGATGTAGTATATTTAGCTAGATAGCCCTAGTGTTAAAACAAAAAAGTAAAAAGCGATAAAGTAAAAAATATTGCTAATTATTTCTTTGGAAAATTAATATTTTTATCACTCATTTGTTGAATTAAAAATTCGATTGATTTGTAAAGAAAATAATATTTGGAATTAAAAATAATTATATTGAATTATCGAGTATCATTATTTTAAAACCTGTCAAAATTACGAATATTTATTCAATTTCGCCTATAGGGTACTTTAAATAGCAAATTATTTTATCTCCACGACGAATGAATTTATTATTGAACAAGAAATTGTCACCTTTTCGTGACGAATATACTCGACGTAAACATCGAAAGGGTTAAGTTTTCGTATAATTATATAAAAAAAATTTTTAAATAAATTTAACAAATTTTGTAAATTTGTTTTTGGTTGGAAAAGTCTATGGAGTAAAAGTTACTTGGTACTTCGACGATTATCAACTGCGAGAGAACAAATTTTCGAGAACTTTCGACGCGATAAAAAAATTGAGGTTATGTTGACACTTTTTAAATAGCAGCGTATATACCAGTACTTCGACCTCGTGGCGACGTGGCTGGTGAAAAATCAAGTTCAATGACCTATTACACAATGACCTTTACATGACCTTGAGTTTAGAAACCTACCATAATTTACTACGGAAACAAGTTTCCTTATTCACGCGTAAGTGTAACAGAAACCTATCTCATTATGAATGATACTTTGCAATTGAATTTAAATTGGAAACAGACTTAAGCTAGACTTTTTATTTGTCATAATATTATTAATAACGTTAAAGCAATATGTACTTCTGTAATTATTATTAACGTAATACTTCCCTGGAAAATTCTTTCCAATTTTATAAATATAAAAGATTAAATCCGAAATAAGCGTGTTTACCGTTTAAATACAGTTAGAAAGTGTGAATAACTCACAATGAGTTACGCTTACACCTCACTTACGTGTGAATAAGGAAACACGTTTTCCCAAGGTATTATCGTATATTAGATTACGACCAGCTATAAACCATTGTATAGTAGAATGTAAAATTTAATTCCTTATGAGCTATAATATTGAAGAGTTAAGAAATGTATACTTTTATATAACAAAATATAGGAATTACTTCGGTACTTTATTGTGTGATATAACAATTTAATCAAATATTGTAAATAAAGTGTAAAAGATAATAAAAGATGCTAATTTTTACCGAGACCTAACCTAACATAACCTAACTCAGTACAATCATATTTTTGTGGTAATAAAAATTAACGTTAGTTTTTTCAAAAGCAGCTGTATACTTTAGGTAAATGTGAAACCAAAATGCAGTAATTTTGATTTTTCACTAGTTTGATAATTCTAGTGTCAAATAATATTTATATAATTTTAAAAATAAAAATACACTACGAGGAACTTAACCCTTTGCACTCGAGAGGCGCCCTTCAATCGCCATTAGATAAAATTTCGAAGCTCGATATTAATTAATATAACAAATTTAAAATAATGCAATAATACGATCTCTTATTTACTGCTCAGAAAATATCATCAGCTTTATAGCAGAAAATTTTTCAACTCGTACCCTTCTTTAGCCAAAAAATCGTCGAGCGCAAAGGGTTAATATAGCATCATAACAAAAATTTTGTACCGTGAAGCTAATAATAATTTAGATTCCATGGTGAAAATAATTAACTCTGTGCAATTACGTTCATATACGTTTCAATTAATTTTATCGGAAGCAGTGGGCAGTAAATGTAAAACCAAAATGCTGGGAACCAGCCATTTTGATTCATTTTGACGGTTCTAGTTACATATTGTAATTGACACCACTGCATACAATTCCTAGATTAAAATGAATAATTATCGAGATATACTCTGATTAATTTTTAATGCAAATGATATTTGCGATATAATTTAGTGAAATTAATGCAGGTATATAGGCAACCAATTAACGCGATTAGTACACGTGTAAATATTACATGTGTAAGTTGAAATTATATACAAAATATTTTTCTTATATAATAAACAGTTTAGAGGTAAATTTAAGCGATGCAATTAAACAACTTTCACCAGACATAACGCCAATTAAGACATAAATAATGCTAATTAAGATTGTATAAATGAAAGTAACATGTAAAATTAGTAACATAATTACATCTTTATCTTAATTAGAGTTAACATTAATTTTACTAAAAGCAGCCGAACGTTCCTAATAATCGTGAAAACAGAAAGCTAAAAATTAATCATTTGGACTAGAGTAATAACTAATATATTACACATTATTCACGATCATTTAGCGATTAAAATGGTACTACGAGATATCTTGTAATTGATATCACTGATAACGAGTAAAATTCCTATACCAAATACATCGAACACTATATCTATATCAACACTGAATTTTCTAACTTGTAACGTGCTCGTAACTATAGTATGCAAAGATAGTAATAATTAAAATAAAAATTGAAAAGCAAAATAAAATTAAAGTAAAGAAAAACGACGAAAATGATTGGATATGTATAATTACTATAATTCTTATCTGGTGAAAGACAATACTAATTCTCCCAAAAACAGCTGCTTCTCTTCAACATAATTACCTAAAATATGAATTCAAAACGACTGGACGTATCACTTTAATTATCCTAGCGCTAAACAGACATAAACGACCGACGCCATTTTTCACGAGGCACCTTAATTCTCGTATAACAATTAAAATAAAAATTACAAATAACAGCAATTAAAAAGAAAGGTAAAATTAAAAGAAAGAAAAACGATAAAAATTATTAGACACATATAATTACTATAATTTTTGTTTGAATAAAAGACAGTAATAACTCTTCCAAAAACATCTGCATCTCTTCAACAACTATATAAACTATGGAAACAAAATATCTAGACTTATCATTTTAATTATCTCAAAAGTCCTAGTGTTAAATAAACATAAACGACAGACGCCATTTTTCACGAAGCACCTCAACTATCGAATAATAATTCCGATAAAAATTAAAAACATAAATCAAATAAAAATATCAACACTAAATTTCCTAAACTGTAACGTGCTCGTAACTATAGTATGCAAAGATAGTAATAATTAAAATAAAAATGGAAAATAAAAATAAAATTAAAATAAAGAAAAACGACGAAAATGATTGGAAACGTATAATTACAATAATTTTTATCCGGTAAAAGACAGTACTGTCCCTCCCAAAAACATCTAGATCTCACCAATAACTAGATAAAATATAAAAACTCACCATTTTAATTATCTCAATAGCCTTAGCGTTAAATAGACATAAACGACCGACGCCATTTTACACGAGGCACCTCGGCTCTCGAAAGCACTCCCGGTTCCCGAGAATTCGGACACACAGGAGCAAGAATCGTGTGCTCGCGAAGGAAGGGCTAGTAATCTATCCACGAACGACGAGAAAGTAAAATAACTGGATATACACCGTTACCTGGATATCAGACACACAATTGCGGACCAAAAACCGAACGAAGACGAATAGAGGAAAAACATAAGGGCGAAGGAGTTAAATAGGTGGAGGCAACGAGACACATGGGGTTGGAAGCAGTAGAAAAGAACACGAGAACAGCTTCTTTACCTTGCGAAGACATCCTCGGCAACGTGGAGGATTTGATCGCCGGTTTCGTTGGTTTTGTGTCCGCTAGTCGTGATGGAAGGCATTGCACGAGAAGTCGTTAGAGATTATTGCGTTAGTATCAACTACTCCGAACGAGGACTTTTTGTCGTCTATCTCTCGATTAGCTCTCGAGTATACATCTTTATCCTTGGCTGATCGAGGAAGAAAGAAACGGTGAATCAGGAATCGTGATTCCTAATCTCTCTGGCCTCTGTGTTCAACGACCCCGGCGCGATATCTGTGCGGTTTGCAAAACCGTTACCGATCGATTCGCAATTATGGACAGACCGTGCGACGGGAAAGAATAGATCGTCAGCGATTTTCTTCCATGGACAGAAAGACCGGCCAATTACGTTAAGAACGTCGTTGACCTGGCTGCTATAATTTTGCTACAATTTCCATGATAATTCTCGGCATTGGTCCCCTGTTTCACTGTTCCTTTCCTCCTCCAATTTTCTTTTTACCCCAATGGGATATGCACTTTATACACCAAAGTCTTCGGACGTTCGCATTTGCTGTCTTTAAAAGGTGACAAATGCGCGTTAAAGCGAAATATTTAGCTAGAAGTAAGTTTCAAAATTATACTAGCGAAGTTAGAAAATAATTCGACGATATTGTAAAAATATGGAATTGGAGAATCATAAAACTATTATATTAGTCGAAAGCAACATTAAACAAACAATAAAAAGTTGCAAAATAACGTTGATTCATATTCTGTTGCTTACGACAGCTTTTAAGGCGATTCTCCACGTAACTCACTAGCGCCACCACGACCCGTATCTCCAATAAATGTATTATAAACATCGTATGCGTCATTGGATTATTTTCTAACTTTACCCATGTAATCTTGCTACTTTCTCCTTGCTGCATACATCATATCGTTCGAAATATTTGATTTTAAAGTACATATATACACCAAACTATGGAAACGTTTGTATTTGTCGTATTTAAAAGGTGACATATGCGCGTTAAAACGAAATATTTAGCTAGAAGTAAGTTTAAAAATTATACTAGTAAAGTTAGAAAATAATTCGATGATATTGTAAAAATGTAGAATCGGAGAATCGTAAAAATATAATATTAGTCAAAGCACCATTAAACAAACAATAAAAAGTTGTAAAATAACTTTTCTGTTGTTTATGGCAGCTTTTACGGCGATTCTCCACGTAACTCACTAGCGCCACCACGACCCGTATCTCCAATAAATGTACTATAAACATCGTACGCGTTGTCGGATTATTTTCTAACTTTACTCGTGTAATCTTGCTACTTTCTCCTTGCTCATACATCATATCGTTTGAAATATTTCATTTTAACGTACATATATACACCAAACTATACGGACGTTCGTATTTGCCGTCTTTAAAATGTGACATATGTGCGTTAAAGCGAAATATTAACTGGAAGAATGTCTCAAGATTATATTGGTACAGTTAGAAGATAATTCAACGATATTATAAACTAGTAGAATTGGTGAATCATCAAAATATAATATTATTAGAAAACATCATTAAACGAACAATAAAAAGTTTCAGTATGACGTTGATTCATATTCTGTTGCCCATGACAGCTTCAAAACGATTCTCCACGTAACTCACTAGCGCCACCACGACCCGTATCTCCAATAAATGTACTATAAACATCGTATACGTTGTTGAATTATTTTCTAACTTTACCCATGTAATCTTACCACTTTCTTCTCCATGCACATCGTTCAAAATATTTCATTTTAACGTTCATATTTCACTCGTCGAAGCTAGCAAGTGTAATCGTCCGAGTACTTTCGTGTACTCGACAGTACCGCGATTCCTCGAAGGAAGTGTGTTTAGCGAAAACGTATCGTCTAATAAATTCGTATCGTACAATGTGCAATAACCGTTACCTGCGTGCTGCGGGGAATGCTGCTTGGGGGAATTCATGTCTGGTGGCTCGTCACTGAAGGACACTGACTTTTCAAACGACACCGACTTGTCTGGAATAGAGGATGATCAGAGCATGTTTCCTGCGATTCCGTGCTAGACGAGGGGGGCATTATAGCGAAAGGGCGTGCTCGCGACGATGTTTTCCAACGAAGAGGAAAAAAAAAGGAAAAAGAAAAATCAAAGAAAAATTCGTGTGCGCTAACGTCGAGGCTGTGACGGGCCTCTCGTGCAGCAATCGTGGGATGGTGTGAAGCGCAGAGTTGAACGCGATTGGGAAGGAAGAGAGAAAAGTAAAGAAAAGTTGCGTTCGGTTCCGGGTAGATGATCACGGAACCTCGTCGAAAGAAAAGGACAAAGGGTCTAGGGAACGAGAAGAGCCTATAGGGGTTAAGGATCTTCTAAAACCGATAGAGCGAGAAGTGGCTGGTGCCGAGTGCCATTAAGAAGATGCGCGTATTGTGCATGGACGATGCAAGAACGGAAAGAAGCAAACGTGGTAAAGAGGACGTGCAAGACGAGAGAAACGAAGGGGGTGAAACGGGGTGCCGGAAAGCGCGTGCGGTGCTCAATGGCCGTTATGATTACTGCGAAAAAGGCGACAATGCGTTGGTGCACAGGTGACAGGAGAAACGTGTATATCTTGTAAACCGCACCTTTGCCTAACTTTGGTGGTTTAACGTCAGTCCTTAAGTACGAGTCATCTGTAACGGCAGGTTGAGACACTTGAATTTTACAAAGGAGAACCGTTATAATCACACTGGTTAAACGTAGGGCACTATTGTAAAATGTATAGTAATAGTAATAGTAATAGTAGTAGTAGTAGTAGTAGTAGTAGTAGTAGTAATAGTAATAGTAATAGTAATAGTAATACTAATAGTAATACTAAGAGTAATAATAACAGTAATAATAATAACAATAAGAGTAAAGTACGAATAATTGTATAGATACAGTTCTTCCACTTTAAATTCGCCCTTTTGCAAATCAAACTCATCCTTTCGCAAATCAAGTACTTGTACAGAAATATTTTATTTAAGGAAGCATGAAATATAACATTGGAATGGTAAATCCATTCCAGTTATACAATATTAAACAACATTCAGCAAATAATCGAATGAAAATCCTTCCATAATTTTAACGAATATTCGTGAAAAAATTGTGGAATCTGAAAATGCATTAATTCCATTAGTAATGGATTGAAACTGCCGCGGATCGTATTAAAATCTGTGCCAATAAAAGCTGATCGTCGAAATAATATGAATTTAACACTTTTCTCGAAATACTAATATAAATTTATCTATATACGTATAATACACACGATTAATGTAATTAATAAAGATATCACTGGTAAATAAATACCTGATACATACACATCCTATTGATAAAATTTTTCATATCCTACTAGCTAATTTATATTTGTCGATTTCTAAAAATAAAATATTTATGCAGAAGTACTTGATTTGCAAACGAGTGTATGTACATACAAATTTACTTATATATGTATAATACATATAGTTACTGTAATTATAAAACACGCAATACATATGTACTTTATTGAATTACCAATTACAGTTAAATATTGTACATATTTAATATACTTCTTTCTAGTCAAATTTTTAATTTCTTGCTGGCCAATTTATATTTGCAATTTTTTAAAATAATATATCCAAGTAGAAATACTTTATTTGCAAAAGGGTGAACTTAAAGTGCAAAGACTGTGTATATGTATATATATGTATATATAAACTATGCATAGAGCGGTTACAGTGATCCGAAGGAGAATAGAAGATAGAAGAAGATGAAGAAGACACACCTGGCAATGAGGCAGAGCTGGAGCTAGAGTGTTTGTCGAACTCGTCCCCGGCGCCTGGTGTGTGCGTCAGTCGGAATAACAAAGCAGTTGTACAGCAGGGTTTCAGGAAACTTCAACACCGCGTTACGACACGTAGCAGTGGTAAACGTGGCGTTAGAATACTCACGGAGCTTCCATACCCTCCACGATTCCCACGGAACATCGAGGTAACACAGACAACAGAAACACAACGCGTCTTACCACTGTTACCGTGTACAAACCGTGGCGCAGAACGTACGTAATCTTTACATCTAACCGAGGCGCAGCTTTCGCCGGTCAGCCTACTAGTGCTGCCCTCTGTGCTCCTCCCTCCGACGTCAACCGAATCGGATCTGTCTAACGTGGCATCTAAAGGCGGAAGTCGAACGGAACCGCGACGAGAACGGGAAAATATACGAGAAAAACATATGGCGGAAGAAAACGATGAAGAGAAACGAAAGAAAGAGAGAAGAGAAAACTGATCGTACGACGAAGAAAGCTAAGGGGTGGACGAACATTCACGCATAGAGAACGGGGGGACAGGCGGTGAAGCGTCGCAGAATAAATCTTTTCAACGTAACGAGCTAACGCTTTCTAGAATGTCTAAAGTGCGACGAAAGATCGAATCGAAAGTAAATGCGAACGTTTCGCGTCGACGAGACGAGGTATAAGCGATCTTGACCGTTCGAGCGAACAGTCGTATCGAGAAATCGTGTCGAGAAACGTCGAGTGGCGCTGCAATCGGATCACGCCGAATACCGCCAGATGGCGCAGTCGCGTCGCTTAGTTCGCGGTAAGCCCGTCGTGGCGCTGCGGTAGACTACCGGAAGGTTCTCGACGCGAAATCTCGGCACTCGAACGATCGAGTCGCGTTTCCGACAGTTTCGTCGAACCGAATCGATAGGCGGAAACGTAAGAGACTGAGAAATCAAGTCGGGGGAGAGAAGAATGGATCTGGACGGAAAGAAAAAACTACGCGAAACGAAGGGGCTGAGTTTCTTTCGCAGAGACGAGAGACAGAAAAACCGTGGACAGCGCGTCTAACGAGAACAGTTGGCAGACCGTTGGGCCAAAGGTAGGGCCCGATTACGCAGCGATCGAGCGACAACGTACCTGGCCCTCTCGCGTACGGGTCACGTCCAGCGGGGACCTGCAGGTAATCACGGGGCGATGGACTCGTGTGCGGGGCGTGGGTCAGTGCCTTCTGCACCAGTCCTGTCAGGTTGGCCAGCTGCCTCTCCATGTGCTCTACCCTTATCCTACAGGCAAGGAACAAGCAGAGATCGGTTAATTGGTATGTACAATCCCGAAGTGCGATCGAACGAGGCAAACTCTAGGATCTAGTGGGACTGAAATGTTAAGGATGTTTCAAAAGAAAAGCGTTCCACAGGATGCACGTATATATATACTCAGACTTATATACTCAGATACCAACTGACGATAATCAGAATCGCGTGCAAGGTTCGTTCCGCATAACCCGCGATTACTTCTAAAGACTACATTCGCCGGAACGCTGTTATACACAAAAGCGCTCGATACACATTCTCTCTACGACCGCTAGTCGGCATGCTACATTCCACCGATCCGCAATACCAACAGTATAGAAGCCTGTACCCGCAGACGAAAGGGACGCCAATTTCCCCCGAATCGCCGTCCTTTCCGTCGGACAAGGCAGCGTACACCGTTCACCTGAAACAACTCGGCGCTGCCGCCGCTAGATGTCGCGACCGAGTTACGCGCAACCCCGGCGCTCGCGCCGCGTGCAACGCAGCGTCCACGCCTGTCTCTTCCTCCATGCATGCTCCCGACGCATACTATACACATGCATCGAAACGAACGACCGTCGTCCCCGGGAGAGTTTGGGTCTCAGTTTTTCCGAATAATCGAGAACCAAAGCACGGTTGGTCCCTCTGTACGTTAGCTTGCGCGAGCTTCCCGTGCTCGGAGAGCCGGGTCAATGGAATCGACGGGTAGGTCGATCGATGAACTCGAAACACGGGATATCGTGGAATATTATCCAGTAGGCGTCGGCTGGCGGTGAACGAGTATAAATAACCCAGGCTGAGGGAGCGGTGGGAAGCTAGCGCTGTGCTTTTCACTTTCCATCGTCGTAACTCTTTCGCGATCCTCCGTTCTGGCGTGATAAATTTGCCAAGGCGATACACATCGGTGTCCTCTTTCTCCCTGGGAACGGCGAGTCGCGTGATCTATGGACGACGATGACGACGACGCATTCACAAGCGCATTCGTATACTCTAACCAGACGATACATAGCATTTGGACTGGTGGCTACCAGGTCGTCAGGATCGGACCATGGACCTCGGATTCGACGGGGAGGTCGAACGTGGTCCGACGTGGCAACTGGGTAGTCGAACGTCTGGTGATCGCGGGCTCTATCGAATACTAGAGAAGGTAGCTCAGTACCGAGTAGCGTCGTAGCTCTGACCACCGGGTGGCAAAGGTGGTGGCGCCCCTGGAGGAAACGGGGATCGCGGAGGACCAGACGGCGGACGGCCTGACGGTTTCACACCGTATAGGCTGTACGATTCCTCCAACAGCTCCGTATCGCTGCACCACCCACAACAGAGACATACGTATCCGCGCTATCAGCCATCCACGAATCGGTATCGAAATCGCGACCACTTTTCCCCATTTCCGTCGATTCACGCGAGCAATTTGTCTCCCTTTGCACGCGCTGTGATTCTTTTTTGCTTTATTCTTTCAGTGCGTGTGTATATACAGGGTGTTCCATTTGAAAGTAGCCAGATGAGTATTTTTTGAGAGTATGAGTGATACTTCAGGCAGATTTTGAACGTTTTCATGAACGAGGTTTAGCTAACGTTTGTACGAGGATGGATGAAGGTTGGTTTTACTATTCGTAGGGAATTATGTGTCTTTGGAGGTGTCATTCCATTGGAGGAGGGGTGTTAGTTTTCCAGATATTCGAACTTTTAATTGGACATTTCTGAATACCAACTTTAGCCAGGTCAGCGTTATACTACCAATGCTACTACGCTTACAGAACACGTGAAGATCAACTTTTTAGTGAGAAATGAAGAATGTATTTTATTTTATGTATTGATCGGTATGATTTGTCATACTTTGCGAAAAGGTACTGGAAGTCTTGTGGCAAAAAGTCGCTAATTTTATTTACTAATATTCAAATTGAATTATATTGGAGCATATGTAAATATCAGCTTTGGTTTCTTAAAAACAGGCATGTACTTGTTGATATCATAATTAATTCAAATTAGAAGAATCAACTATACACGGTGTCCCAAAAAATGTATACACACTTTAATACCTTTCCTTTCTAATTTTCTTTCTTTTTTTTTCTGTTTTTATAATCAAGCAAAGTGTGTATACATTTTTTGGAACGCCCTGTAATTTTAATATAGGGTATTTTTGAACAATAAAATCTAGTAGTAATATTAACACATTGTACGCCGGTATCATGATGTCGTGTAATTACTATGTATATATTTGTAGACACTTGTTACCATTTCCTCTAAATTTATCCTAAATTTTGGCACTTAGAAAAGGAACCTGGACTCCCAACGAACCCTTAATATTCGTCCCCGAACATGGACATTTGGCCACCATTTTGTTGCTGTCATAGCACTAATCAAGTGATATATTTTCTTGACATGTATACACAGAGAACAAGATTCAAACAAATTTTTAAAATCTTTACACATTAAATAAGAACCAGGATTCGCAAGGACCCGATAAAATTCGGCTCTGAACATGGCCGTTAGGCGGCCATTTAGCTACAGTCTGACACGGAACTGATCACGTGACCGTTTCATCCATATTGCCTTCTCCCACTGAACAAAATACACGCGTCATGTTGAAAATACGCAACAAATTTTCGATGCATGCATTAACAGGCGTACAATGTCTCAAAATGGCGTTATTTTTGCCATAATTTTTGCCATGATCCTTTCGCTACCTTTCCCAAAGAACGACGCGAGGAGCACAATCAATAAACCAACATCCTAATTCTATTCCAAGAAACAACATTCAACGTTTGCCTAGTGTCCGAAATGATGAACAGTTCGAGAAAAACATTCTAGTGTGTGAGCGGAAAATGGAACACTCTATATATACGTGAACGATGAAAAAGACAGGTGAAGAGAAACTTGGACGAACGAGAATGACGATAAAAACGACGAAAAGGGTCGTGGAACTCCGGTTACCTGGCTTCCTCGTCGATGACGGGCGTCACGGTGCCCGAGTACTGCGAGTAGTACGGGTCCTCGTAGCTGCTTCCGGCACTGTAGGGCCCAGGCGGGTATCTTCCGGTTGCGGAGCCCACCCCTCCGCCCCGCTCCGGACTGCTCATATAACCGCTCTCCCCGTGCAGTCGATCTGTAGAAATGGCAGACGTTAGCAGAGCTAAGGAAGAGGCCTCTAGATTGCCTGCACAGCCGAGAATATGACGGATCGTTTCGCGGATGGAGACGAATTTTCGTTCGCGGGGCGTCGCGACGCGTTGATACGTAATCGGCAACACGGAACGTACGTACCACGGGCGTGCTTCTTACGGGATGTCAAAGACAGAGCTCTACGAATCTTTACGGTGAGAGTGGGAGCGGACACGTTATCAGGGGTTGACGGCGATGCTCTACTTCAGATACTGTATGCCACATGAGGTAGGTTCTGTATACGTATACACTGCAAGATACTTCGAGCCTTCGAAGGGGGTCGCGTCTCGTTCGACCGTATAGACACTGAAAATCCCAATTTCAGGGCTTCCCTCCCCGTTCCTCTCCGCCCAAGCTGTTCCCTTTTTCGACCAAACCGCCTCAATATACCCCAAACTCATCGTTACGTTCCTCGCCGCTCGGTTCACGTTGCCCGAGTTTCGCCGCGGCGGAATCCACTCGCTGGCAGAACGAGATCTGCGTGTATCCAACGACCCAGAACGGAAACCCTCGACCTCCTTTCTTCCTTTTCGCCCCTTCTCACCCCTTTTCACCCCGTTTCGACCGGCGAGATGAGCCAAAGGCCAATTGGTAGGAACCGAGCCGAGAATCGGGCAGACGCGCGAGAGATAGAGAAACCGGGTTCGCGATCCACGGCTGAGGACCGAGGTTTCCGGGGGGTTGTTGTTTTAAGGGTACTACTGACCTGCTATACTATAGAGGGAGACCGAGCTGTCTCTACAGAAGCGAGCCGAGCCCCCGAAGTTTCCAACGTTACGACACTGGTGGCTGCGAAGCGGCTTGGCCGGCGGCACCCCGCCACCACCTATCCAACCATCCGGAAAACCAAACAAAAACCAATGTACCCAGCTGATCCGGTGTACGTCGCGTCTCTCCCCGAGTTGATGCCTTGCTAATTCGCATGGTAGAAGTGCACCATGTGCCGCGTATCGAATCGACCGCTCTGGAAACGGCCTGCCGGTATGCACCCTTCCATGAGAGTTATAGCAAAAGACGCGAAACGGACCGTCGTCGTGAGCGTCAAGGTCGTGACGTCGACGACGGTCGGTTCACAACGGCGACTCGAGTCGACTAACGCGTTTCACGCGCGGTTAGTTCGCGACCTTCCCGTTAGTCGAACGGACGGCGCGCGTGAGTTACGCATAGGATTCGTGCTTGCATCCGCGCAGGGGGCGCCACACAAAAGCTGGTTGGGGTGTATCCGTGCGTGTTGCAGCCTCCGTCGTGCGATGCGAACGAGTACGATTCTCGCGTCCGACTTCCGGGTTCACGCTGATACTCGTTCCATCAGGACGGAAGGAGGGAAACGATCGAGCGTTCTTTGACCAGAGACACAAGCGAGGATCGGTGTATGCAACGATGTCAGGAGCATCTCGGACACTCGGTGTCCGGATCGAAACGGGTGACACAGCGTGCGGAGTATGCAGCGAGCAGAGGGAACAAAACGTCGAATGTTCTTCCGGACAGCTCGAAGGATCACACGGCAAAGGATCGTTGTTTCGCAACGGGTATGCGTTTGCCAACGAATCGGTCCAAGCTACGGGGGGATGTGGCGCAAGCATGGACAGGTGACAATTACAGGCGTGAAAGCGACCAATCGGGATCGCGGTTCAGAAATGATGCCCGTCCACGAGCGCGGAATCAAACCCATCCCCGACTCGCGGTAATCGGCTCTTGGCGGACGAGTTTCCGGTATCAGGGGGGATGTTCGTGTACCTGGAGTGGCCAGAGGTTTCGGCTGCGTCGGCGTCGTGTTCGGTCCACCGACCACCGACGACGCCGCCGGACTGTACGCCCTCATCAACTGCCCCCCGCGGGGCAGGGTGCTGCTCCCTCCGACGTAGTAGCCGCTGTTCCCGGAAGTCGAGTTCTTCGCCGTCTGAAACAGCAAATTCACGTAGCGTAAGCTTCGATTCTTAGATTTTTTTAGGTTATTCTATCTTTATTAGTATTCTTACGTTATTTTAGGGTTCGTTGTTCTATTATTGCAGAATTTGGAGCGATTGAACTCCATTTTGTAGGATGAGTCAACAATTTCTGGGGGTTATTCTCGATTAACTCCTTGCACTACGCTGAAACTCGGAAAAAGCCGTGCCAAACGTTTGATTATTTCATTCGAGAGATTCATACTTGACCCGAGATTAAGACCACGAGTCAGACTCGTGATATTCATGTTTGGCTCGAAATGTTGATCACGAGTCGGACTCGTAAAAATAGTGCAAGGGGTTAAATTATTCGTAGATAGAGATTCGAAGGTTTAATAAACAGTGATGCTTTGTTAATGGCAAAAATTTTACTTAACCTTCGAATGGTGGCCATTATTTTCATGCTGCTAACACTATAAAGAGACGTGATATCAATATTTATGTTAACTCTTGCGTGAACAATGAACGCGTTAAGCGTTATTTTCTTGAACTTCAGGAACGACACTTGTTCAGTTATTGTACGCTCTTCAACGAACGTTCAGAATTGACAACCTAGCCTAACCACAACGACATCGAGGATACCTACCGCATCAACCGACATCAGCAACCATGGGAGAGACTCCACGCGAAAAATGTTACCACAGCAGAATTAATAGAAGGCTTTCCAATGAATGCCTCGAAGTAAAGAGAAATTAGTTTTGAACGTCATGCACGTTACATTTCTTAGATATCTGATAAAACGTCGCCTTTTTAGCGAAATTTACTTTAATATTATATCCTTTCGAGCGCTATGAACACGTATATGCGTTCGGTAAAATCGTTCAACATGATCTATGAATACATATATGGGTATTTATATAACCATTTAATTTAAGCTATGAACGCATATATGGGTTCTCATGCAACTATTCCATTCAAGCTATGAACGCATACACGGATTCTCACACAATCATTCAATTTGGGCTATGAACGCATATGTGGGTTCCCACACAACCATTCAATTTGGGTTATGAACACATATATGGGTTTTCACACAACAATTCAATGTGGACTATGATTACATACATGGGTTCCCACGCAACCATTTAGTTTGGATTATGAACGCATACATGAATTCTCCCGCAGGCATTTAATTTGGGCTATGAACACATATATAGTTTCTCACGCAACTATTTAATTTGAGAGATGAATGCATATATGGGTTCTCATACAATCATTCAATTTAAGCTATAAACGCATATACGGGTTCTCATACAACCATTTAATTTGGGCTATGAACGCATATATGGGTTCTCACGCACCATTCAATCGCAGCTATGAACACATATATGGGTTCTCATACAACTATTCAATCTGAGTTATAAATACATATATGCGATTGATGCTTAGCACAACCCAACGCTCAAAGGGTTAAGAGGATCATTCCTAAAACCTCCTGTTGTAGTACAGCTACATGCTAAGAATAAACTCTACATCCCAGCGATGTGAGGGCACTCCTCCCCTTCGTTTGCTTTTCTCACATGTCTTTTGTCTCCACTTTTTCTGGAGACAACAGTGACCTGCCTAGCCCAAATCAATGAGTCCAGTTCAATCTCTGTCATCATTTAACAAACATATATTCTTTTACCGATTTCATAGACACGTTTCTTTCAATATAACCCCTAAACCTTCCAAACAATAAAAAGAGATAAGAAAGAAAAAATAATTCGTTTTCTTCGATCTGAGTGGTCACAGTGGTCCCACGCCTCCTCCCCCACACCCCCAAAGGGGTACACTGTTGCAATCGAGCTTATAAAAATCGGTTTCTTTGGAAGATAATTTAACGTATAAATTTCCCAACCGTCTTATAAATCAGCAGCAAAATTCAAGTGTAACGCTATCGAAAACGATGCCATTGACCGATAGATACACACCGGAAAGGGCGAGTATTAAATTAACCGCGAGCAACGTGTACAATTGCATCGTCTAACGAGCAGGTGTTCGATTGTGAAAGAAGAGGTACCATGTGTGACGACCGTTAGAAAGCGATATGCAGAAACGCTCGAGCGTGCAACGATACCGATTCGATTTCGATTTATAGGGAAACTCGACTAAGGTTTCTCGCCGAGGAAGAAGCAGAAAAATGGCCGCGACTCGAGTGCCATTTCGCGAATATGGCAATGAAAATAGAGAATGCAGCGAAGATCCCGTTGCCGAGGTTCAGCGAGTCATTTGAGCACCGATTTCACGCCGATTTTATGGTTCGTAAAGCCCCCGCGATTTTCACCTCGACAGATCCTCCGCGAATAAAGTCTCGTTTGCAAGGAGGAGGTATTACGCAAGTGAATTCATATCGACCTCGGAGAAACGCTAGCTTTCGAGCAGTCTCGTCTAATAATTTTTCCACGATGAGATGAGAGAGTGAAGGTTGGCTCCGATTTCGAAAGTTCGGTACCGTTCTGGTAATGGGCAGCTCGTTTGACCGGATCCACGTAGCTAGACATTCGCGAGCAGAAATTTTGAAACGGTCCTCATTATCTAATACGCGTAGCTCACAGTCGGAATTGCGTAATCGTGACACAATTATCGGATCGAACCGTCGCAATTACGCGCCCGTTGTTCCGACTGGCGTGTCATCGATCGGTAACTCGAGGAGAGCGTGGAGCGAGTCTCGAATCTGAGAGGAATTCTGTGCGGATCTGGCACGTGGATCGTTCGTTTCAGGCTCGATCGATGAATAGAATGGATCCGATTGTTTCGTAGATCGTTGCGAGATCGGTAAGCTCGAGAATTAGATTGTTCTGGATTTGGAATTCCTTCGAGATCTGTGGCGAGTCGTCAATAGGTGATTAGAGGAGAGCGTAGAGCGGGTCTCGAATCCGTGAGGAATTCTCTAAATGTCGATGATCAAGAACGTGGACTGTTGCTTTTAGGATCGATCGGCGACTCGCACGGATCCGATTGATACATTGGTCATTGCGAGATCGGCGAGCTAGAGACTTAGACCGTTATGGGTTTGGAATTTCTTTGGGGTCCGTGAGTCGTTGGACTGTCCTTGGTTTGGAACTTTTTTGACGTGTGTGAGTTGTTGGACTGTTTTTGATTTCGAATTTCTTTGAGGTATATGAGTTATTGGAATTTCTTTGAGGTACATGAGTTACTGGAATTTCTTCGAGGTACATGAGTTATTGGAATTTCTTTGAGTCTTATGAGTTGTTGGATTGTTCTGGATTTGGAATTTCTTTGAGGTTCACGAGTTGTTGGACTGCCTATGATTTGGAATTTCTCCGAGATGTACGAGTTACTGGAATTTCTCTGGGGTCCATGAGTTCTTGCACTGTTTTTGACTTGGAATTCCTTCGAGGTCTATGAGTTATTGGAATTTCTTAGAGGCTTATGAGCTGTTGGACTGTCTTCGATTTGGAATTTCTTCGAGCTTCACGAGTTATTGGAATTTCTTCGAGGACCATGAGTTGTTGTATTGTCTTCGATTTGAAATTTCTTTGGGTTCTATGAGTTGTTAGATTATCTTCAATTTGGAATTTCTTCGAGGTATATGAGTTATTGGAATTTTTTTGAAACCTATGAATTGTTGGATTGTCTACGATTTGGAATTTCTTCGAGTTCTATGAGCTGCTGGACTGTTTCTGATTTGGAATTGTTGGAATAAACCATAACCGCGCAAGAATAACGTTGGAAGTGCTAGGCGTCACAACCCAGTGACGAATTTTGGGTTCTAAGGACCTTTGCTGTTGTGCTGGCATGGAGGAGTTGTCTACCCTTCAGTTAAAAAGGATTTTTGTTCTTCAGAGAATAAATTTTATATTTCAGTCCAGAAATTCTAAATGGAATTCCTTCGAGGTCTGAAATTTGGACTATCTTCGATTTGGAATACCTTCGAGGTCTATAAGTTGGTACAATTCCTTCGAGGTCTATGAATTGGACTATCTTCGATTTGGAATACCTTCGAGGGCTATAAGTTGGCACAATTCCTTCGAGATCTATAAGTTGGCGCAATTCCTTCGAGGTTTATGATTTTAACTATATTCGATTTGGAATACCTTCGAGGTCTATAAGTTAGTGCAATTCCTTCGAAGCCTATAAGTTGGTGCAATTTCATCGAGGTCTATGGGTTAGACTGTCTTCGATTTGCAATTCCACTGAGGTCTACGAGTTGGACTGAGTTCGATTTGCAATTCCTCCGTGGTTTACGAGTTGGACTGTCTTTGATTTGGAATGTCGTCAAGGTCTATGTGTTGTTCGACTGTCTTCAACTTGCAATTCCTTCGAGACCTACGAGTTGGACTTCTTTCAAGGTCTACGAGTTCAACTGTCTTTGACTCGGAATATTTTTTCGAGGTCTACGAGTTGTACTATCTTCGATTTGTAATTCCTCCGAAGTCAATGAGTTTCACTGTCTTCGATTTGGACTTTTCGGGGCCCCTTCGAGTCCTATGCGACAGTGATGCGAGGAGGCTCTAGGTCAAGCGATCAAACGTCTCGTCAAGTGGTAACCACGCAGCCCTCCTACCTCTTCGCGTTACAGCGTGCTCACGAGGCCGTGCCTCGCCAGTTTTACCACCGGCCTTGCTTAGTGTTGTTTACTCGCGTCGACTGTTCGCCACACCGGCTTCGTTTCTCCTCCTCGAGAACTCTCTCACGTGTGACCAATCACGACCTCTCGCGATTACCCGTATTTCGGCAACAGGAACGTGCACTCCGCGCGGGATGATATGGATCCGTTGATGTATCGGTGAAGTACCAGAGAGAAAGATCAGCGGGTGAATCGTGGGATATCGCTGGAGAGGAGGAAAGGGACAAGCGAATCGATATGGAGAAAGCGAACAAGTTTTACGTTAATGGAATCTCTACGGCTCGTTTCATCCTGCTGGGCTTGGTTACGTTGAACTGTCCGGTGGCATCAACCACCACGCAAACCGGAGCTCCCATGCACCAAGTGCTGCTCACGCAAAAGGGATACGTGCAGGTGAGATGGTTTAGAATAATTGGGTAGACCTGGTGAATCAGTGGGTGAGAATAATTAGTCCAGTTTTTACTTCATTCCTCATCATGAAGGATAACATTACTGTCTTGTCGATGAAGGATCAGCTATTTTTAATATTTCAATTTTTTGAAATAATTTTCGAAAATTTCAATTTCAAATTTTCACGTACCACATTTTGGTATTGAAGATTCGTATATATAGTGCTTAATGATTATATATTTAAGACCTTTGGTTCTTCGAGAGAAGTAATCCTTTATATATATTATAAAGGATGACAATTGCTTAGTTTTGTCGATGGAGGATACCTCAGTTATTTTTAATATTTTAATTAAATTCCGGTATGTCAGATTAGGATACTGAAGATACGTAGGTATAGTGTTCAGTAATAATGTAATAATCTGGGATCATTCTGTTTCAGTTTTGTCCAGTCATTCTTAGTCCAGTTTTAGCATAATTTTATGTTGAAGACATTTGGTTCTCCGAGAGACAATTTGATTTACAGATATCACGAAGGATATTCAGCTATTTTTAACTCTTCTTGAGGTGACTCAGTCGCCATTTGTTTTAATGCTATTCCTTAAATAGCGAGTAAGAAATGATAACTATATTCAGAATGTCTACACATATAGTACGAATATAAATCAATCCTGTCCATTCACTTCTCACGCGAACACACGACTTTCTTTTTATTTCAGTATAAAAAGTATCAGCGAGTTTATAAAAATATAACGAAAGCTTCGAATTGGTAATTATTGCTGATTTATACCACGAAAAGGTTCTCCAATACAAAGATGTAATATATTTCAGTTAAGTTTTGTCCTATCAGATTATGATACCGAAAATTCGTGGGTATAATGTTTAATAATTATGTAAAAATTTGGGATCATTCTGTTTCAATTTCGTTCAGTCACTCTTAGCCGAATTTTTACTTAATTCTACGTTTAAAATGTTAGGATCTTTGACAGAAATTTTGATTTATGGACACTATAAAGGATAACAAATATATTACTCTGTCGACAAAAAATATTCACCTATTTTTAATACTACAGTTAAATTTCGACGTATCCAATTTTGGTACTGAAGACTCGTAGGTCTAACGTTTAGTAATTATATAGAAATTTGAGATCATTCCATTTCATTTTTATTTATTTAATCTCTTCAGGGATACTGTCACATATGTCCAATTTTTTCAAAATTACGATTATTATAAGTGGCAAGAAAATTGTAATCAGTTGGAGAATACCTTAGACACCATGGAACCTTCAACTACCATGGAATCCCTCAACATTCGAATACCATCTCTAATAATCACTGCTTTGAAATCATTGCAACTAAAAAATAATTCGCCTCTGAAGAGGTTAAGGTATTGTTTCATGTATTATTGTTCTGTTACTAAGGAACATTCACCTGCTTTCGGTGTTTTAACTATACCCTTGCATGTTATCATAGACATTGATACTTTGGCGTCAAAACGTTGACTGATTATATAAAAATTCTGCTCTTAGCTTCAATCGTTTAATAACTCAAGCTCTGTATTTGTTTCTCCAATAAGAGAATGTCTATTTACATTTTATTTTAATTATATAATTATATTATACATGTTATCGAAGTCTTCAAGGTTCCAATTGTTCTATCACCAAAGAACATCTTGAAAATTCTACATCTTCATTCTCCAAATATCAAATATTGGAACACAGACTGGAATATCAAACACAGGTTCAAGATTTACCAAATAATTCAATTTCATCAGGTTTCCTCAGGTTTGCTAATCATTGGGATCAGGTGACTGTAAAGATCTTCCAAGCAACGATTATCTATTTCCAATAATTCAACAAAATTTCAAAATTTCAAACATTAAAATCCATTAAAATCCACAAATCTATTGACGTCAGGCTTCGCGCTATCTTCAGCTCCAACCATCATCCACTGACCACCACTTAACTTGTTTGCCAAAGCATTCTATTCTTCGATGCAAAACCGGCTCTCTAAACACTATCCAGATCCTCCAAGAGTTTTGTCCCGCCGAACAAAGTACATTTACTCATTCTCGAGATTCCATCCAAATCCACAAACATCAAGGTTGAACCTCGCTGCAAAATCGCAGAATCATTCCACCTCACATAAAACCTTACTCACTGTCCTCTATTCAACGTGTTTCCCAAGTCACTTGATTTCTCCACAAAGTTATCGAGATTTTCCAATCACGTTCCAGCATCCGATATGGATTGCTTCCACTTTCGATTGACTTAAAGCCTCCGATACGGAATATCGTTGCCAAAGGTTCACGCGTCTAAAGTCAACTAATTATTCAGCAATGCAGAATTACTGCACACTGTGTTTAGCGCTAATAGCCTATTATAGACTATTACTTAGTCCACATTTCAGACCCCGTTTAACCGTTTGAGTCCCAGAGCCTTTTAAAAGAACGCGGTCGAAAAACCCCGAACAGCGCGATGGCGCTTGTTTAATTTTATGTCGAAAAATGTTGAAAAATGCCAATCGGCGCGATAGTGCTTAAAAGGGAAAAAATATTTTCGTATTGTATTTTTGTTAAAATTACAATTGCGACGATGCACAGTGTGTAGTACCAAAAATGACGTAAGAAGGTCTGATTTAATTTGTGCGCAATGTGGAAAAGGAGTTCATCCAATATGTTTTGATAAACACCGATGTTATAAATTATAATTGTTTGTTCATAAGTTGTAAGGTACTATATTATGATATGAGCCGTTTACAGCACAAATCGATTAATTCCACTTTTTGAGAAATCTTAGATTTAAGTGTCAAAGCACTTGGTATAGTCATAACTTTTTATATTTATAATGACTTTCCCTGATAATTAAGATTAACACCATTAAACGACAAAAATTTGTTGGCCACTGAATAATAAATAATTTATTTCAGGGGTCACTTTGATTAACTCCGTACTGTAATGTAAATCGTTGCAATAATGCAACTCAAATGCACTAGCAAGCCATGAATGATAACGGTGAATTTTTTAGTGCCGTCTTATCAGAGTTTAAGTAAAATTTAGTAAAATTTAAATTTATTACTTTTTCACTTGCCAAATCGATTAACTCTTCCAGTAACGTAAAAATGGTAACATTACTAACGATTAGCTTTTGGCTATTTTTTCTTATACATTTTATATACCGTTAGATGAAAGTTACATTTGTATTTATGCATTCTACGATATTTATTTCGATTTCAATTATAAAGGGAATTTTAAAAAACAATATACATTATTTCATTGTATTTCGCCACCTTTTGTTTTATGGAGTTAATCAATTTGTGCAGTGAACGGCTCATATCGTCGTCCGGCACTAAAAGGGTTAAGAAAAGGTGCTATGTAACGTACGTGCGTCAGCAAAGTTGAGGGCGCCACTTGGACAGTCAGTGATAGCACCGTGAGTTGTTCATAGCGCTCGAAATGTACTGCGACTTTTCGACGCAAAATCTGAAGAACGCGATTGGGACTTTTGGGACTCAAACGGGGTAAGGAACAAACGAATCAAAAATTACAACAAAATTTTGTCAGTCGAAGCTTCGTTATCGAAAAAATTGACTTTGAATCGTCACAGGAACACGAGTTAGACTCGCCGCTACAAAGGATTACCCCTTTGCAGACGGAACTGTTTTGAGCAAACCGTACTGTGGGGTACACAGTACGGGGCCCGCGATAGTCATTCAAAACTAGCAGCGCTCGTTTCTGCTTAAACGCCACTTCTCCATGACGAGTATACTCGTGAATCACAGCTAACTGATTAAGGAGAATTTTTTCGCAGTTCCTACGATGGGAGTTGGCAGTGCCGGAATTCAGCGAGTTCACCTTCTGCTTGTGGCTAAAGTCGAACGACCTCACGCATCCTCATCCGATTTTCTCCTACTCGAGTAAGTAAGCTCCTCCTTCAAACAGTTTCTCTTTCTGCGTTCATATAACGCAAGAAAGTAGCGTCGAAAAGCATTTTCACCGGTAAGAAAATCAACGGCTCGTGCCAGTCCTGGCTGCCCGACTTTTCGTTCACCTACTTCTCCGACTTTTACACGTTAGAGGAGATCGAGGCGTTTAACAGCCACGTTCACTTCCGACAGAGAACGAGCGAGAGCGTCTGGCTCGATCGTGGATAGCGCCACATGGGAGGAGCGTTCACCTTGAGATCGGCGGAAGACAGGTGCTCGCGACGTCGACGGACATTCTAGAGAATCGATGGTACCACGTCTGTCTAAGCTGGGAGAACCAGGAGGGTCGCTATGGCGTGTGGGTCAATGGCCGGTTGTGGACTCAAGGTCGCTCTGACGAGGTATAACTCGTGCAACGCACGGTTCATTCCCGACAGCCAGGTGATCCGATTATAGTTATGCATCGATTTCAGACGATAGGTCACACGATCCCAGGTGGCGGAGACGTGGTGCTAGGCCAAGAGTACACGGACGTGGACAAAGGGCTGGAGGACGGTATAGAGGGCTCTGTGCTGGGCTTCAATCTGCTATTGGCCTCGGCTTTCGATACCCTAGACAAAGACTACGTGTCAGAAGCCTCCTACGATACTGTCCAGGTGTCCTCCGCGTCGAGTTACGCCACGGTCCCCCTTTTTGCCAGGATTCCGACGACACTGACGCAACGCGGCGTCAATTACGGGCCGGGAATGCGTCCCAGCACACCTCGAGGACGTCGTTACACCGGCACCGTCTCTTTGTCTGCGACCGAGAACGGAAAGAGATCGATCGATTCCTTGCTCAACAGCTTGAACGCCGAGTTCTTCAAGCTGCTGAGACAGCCCATGGGACTGCAACTGGTCAAGCTGTCGTACGTTCGCTGCGAGATCGGACGGGGGAGCCCGTTCATCGGTGGCTCGCTAATGCTCATCTCCTGGACCAGGACACCCGTGAAAATATTCGGCGGAGCCGTTCTCAAGGACGCCAATGGCGACTGCGGCAATTTCTAGAGATCCTGTCGAATCTCCGTCGATTTCCCATCTGCTTCTGTCCCCCGTGCCCACCTCTCGGAGCTAATACACATTGGCCCAATCACCGGATCCAGTAGCATCGTTTCCAAACACGGAGAAAGCGAATCTCTCGACGAAACTCGAGTGAAAAGATATCGAGGACCGAACCCCGACGATTTCGTGCACCCTGCTCGAGCCCGGGTCATTTCGACATTCCGAGAAATCGGATAGAAAATGGAAAGTCTCGAATCGCTTTCCATTCACAGGTAAGCCTCGAGACTCGCTGAAAAGACGAGCTCTCCAGGCCGAGTTTAGAGATCGCGGATTGAGCAACTTGTTAGATAATCATATTAACAGAGAGACGAGAGGGAGCAACACGCTGTCTCGATTCTGGCTTCACGGAGATAGGATCTAGGCCTCTCCGCGAGGCACGTAGAGTGCAACAGCTTGCCGCAATCTCGGAAAAACTCGAGTGGAGAACAGACGCGCGACGTTACAAAACCGTGGACAGATCGATATCGTTGGGGAAAAAGGCAGAGCGAGTTGCATTCCTGATTTAGTGACACCGAATTCATTCGTTTCCAAAAACATCGAGCCCCGAATCAACGGGGGTCTTGTCTCCTTATTACCAGCGTTTCGTGACTCGGTTTCATGACTATACTCGATTCAACGAGAATTCGAGGGAAATGTAAACTGTACGCGAAACACTTCTTATCAGACTTGGTCCTGAACTGACCCAAGCGTAACATTGGATATTCCGAATTTTCATAAAATTTAGCTGGACTTGTACCCAAGTGCTCCGAGTCAATGAGAGTCTTAGCTCCTTATTACCAACGTTTCATGACTTGTGGATCACCCTGAAATCCCCTAGACTATAGTCGGTTCAACGAGAATTGGCGGGAAATATAAACTGTACGCGAAATACTCGTTATCAGACTTAGGCCCGAATTGGCCCAGGCGTAATATCGAATATTTCAAATTTTCATAAAATTTGGCTGGCCCAAAGACACCAAAGGTCCCTGTATAGTCCATCTAAAACTCGATCCTGAGCATCCACGTTCAGCAACCACTTGTCTGCATTTGCGATATAGATCAGGTGACCATATCGTTTATATTTCCCGCCAATTATCGTTGAACGGAATACAAACTCAGGTAAGAGTCCATAAATCACCAGCAGACAAAACAATCCCCAAAACACACGGAAATACGAGACAGAAGATAGTAAAAGCCAAATTACACCAAGGTAGTTTTTCGTATTATAGCAAATAGAAATCTACGAAACCTCAATCGAACCATCTTACTTTTACAATAGTAAACGTAGTCTGATTAATTCTTCCTACAGAAAAATCGGAAAAGGGAACTCACAATGGGGCCTTACGATAGAGGACATCGCTTTCGGGACGGTAGTAGGCACAAGTTATAGTACATACCTAGTATTAACCCTTTGCACTCGACAGGCGCCTCTCAGTCGCCATTTAATCAGATTCTAAAGATGGATGTTAATTAATATATCAAATTTACAATTAGTCAAAGATGCATGGAATATTAAATTGCATACGATATCTTATTTACCGTTTTAAAAATATCGTCGACCTTATGGCAGAAAGTCTTCGAATTACTATTTTCTTATAACGAAAAAATCGCCGAGTGCAAAGGGTTAAAAACCTTAGTGGGTTTCTTCAAAATGGGCCTTTCTTTCCGAGTTAAAGTTTTGTACATACTTTGGAAATTAATTATTTAACATTCCTTAACAAAGCGAGTTGTAGGTAAGCTGATAGTGTGCTTAACTGTTGTATCCTCTTTTTATGTTTTTAATACGTTAACGCCCTAGGGACTGGCGCTAGACTTTCCGTTCAGGCCTCGCTGGTCCGTACGGCCCGGAAGGGCCCGCATGACGGCTAACTTTGGCGTGAATGGAACGGCACGTAAAACCGACGTGACGTTTAACGTGTTAATAATACAACTTTGAACTGAGAAAATATTTTATTTATTTTTGCATTCAATGTTAATCGCGTGAGAAACTTGTTAATGGTTGATCACAATCCATTTTGCACTTGAAATATATGCCACTTCCTTGCTCTTACTTGCACGATCAATTAATGCAAACTGACGATCGAATGAACAAATTGCTTAGAAAATACCTAGAATGGTACAAACGAACACGTGGTACATGGACATCCTTGCACGTATTTAAGCGTTACCATTATTTCAAAAACTGTTTGAAATACAACCGAAAACTATTAATGTGCGTAGTGACGATATGAACGATACTTCCATTTGCTATATTAAAAATTTTTCGCTTTGTTTTACAATTAATATCGATGTCATATTTGATTCACACTAAATGCAAAAATTAGATAAAATATTTTTCCAGTTCAAAGTTGTATTATTAAAAACAAAAAAAATAATAATAACAATGGGATTCGAATCTATTACTCCCTACCGCTTTATTTTTAAGCTTATCTACTCTCGCTCTGCTAAGGAATGTTAACACGTTAAACGCCACGCCAGTTTTACGTGCCGTTCCGTTCACGTCACAATTAGCCGCCATGCGGGTCCTTCCGGGCCGTACGAACCGGCGAGGCCTGAACGGAGTCTAGTGTCGGTCCCTACGGACCGGCATTAGACTTTTCGTTTACGTCCAGCTGGTCCTCTGGGGCTGTTAAGTAAACCTAAACGGAATAGCAAGCAAAACAGGCTGTGCGTGTTAACGTGTTAAATAATTCATTTACAAATTATATACAAAATTTTAAATCAAAGTATCTCGAAAACGAAGGCCCATTTCGAAGAAACCCATTTGAGTTTCGTAAGCTACATGCATTTAGTCTTAAGTAAGATATATATACTGTTTGACACCCATCACTCTCACTGCACATGTGATTTCACTAACGCTCATTCTCGATTAACCCCTTGCACTATTTTTATGAGTCTGACTCGTAAAAATGAAAAGACCAAACTTGAATATCACGAGTCAGACTCGTTGTTTCATTTCATGCCAAACGTGGATATCACGAGTATGACTCGTGATCAACATTTTGGACCAAACGTGCATATCACGAGTGTGACTCGTTATCGACTATCCAGGCCAAACATGAATATCTCGAGTATGACTCGTGGTCTTAATCTCGGGCCAAGTATGAAAAAACCAAAATTTTCAATTCTCCTTCAAAACTGGCACGAGCTTTCCGGATAATACTACCAATACTACCGTTCCAAATCGAAGTCCATGACCGTAAGGTCCCTTTGTCAAGCCTGAGAACGACAGTTGTCGATCGCCTGGGAATGTTCGGGATCGGTCGGATTTCGTCGATCTCACTTTCATTCCCTCCATGATGGACCACTTTCGTCTCGAATTCTTGGCCAGCTGGACACAATGCCACGTGCCTTTGTGACGAGAGATCGGACGAGTATTCGGGGACCGATTCGCGTATGTACAACGGTTTCGTAATCGGTTCTCGCGAGTTACGTATAGCCAACTCATTACATGCTCGGATCCTTATAGGGCAAACGCGCGTGACTCTGCTGAAGCGTTCACTTCGTGAAAGAGATGACGCGGAAGATTATACGATTGCTCGTAGATCTCGGAGAGATGGAACGTGCTTCGGGTAGCATAAATGAAGAGGCTATTGTAGCATTTTTCGGGGTCCCCGAGGGATATGAATTACGTTGACATGCTTTCCGTTTTTGGGTAAGGCCCCGATTGGCCTAATTTTCGGGCGAGTTTTCATTCGCAGCTGGCAAGTGAGAGTTAATTAAGGCGATTTTAACGGGTTCGACGTTCAGCGTGAAGCGGATGAGTTTCTCGTGGGACCCAATTGGGCCCCAAAAGTCGTAGCGATCCACTTGGAAGTGGGCAAATTACGTGAAATTAATATCCTCTTTTACGAGTGATCTAATGTTATTAGAATTACACAGTGAATGATACAATGAAATCTATTAAGTGCACCTTTAAATTTGGCAAAGTTTTGAATTTTTTCCTGCAATATTTTTTTGATTATGTCGCTTTGGACGCTTTTAATCTTCATTATTGCTTTTCATTGTGATCTTCGAAAAACAGTAGAATTTTGAAGAAATGGAATAACGAGAGACATTAAAGAATCGATTATATTAGGGAAAAATCGAGAAGACGAGTGACTAAGACAATATTGGATTGGAATTTTGAATGAAAATTTAAAAATGGTCATTTAAACCATAGTAGAGTTAATGTTAGGATAAGGGAGGATCCTGGTTTAGCTTTGTGTAAGGGATGATCCAGGTATAGTTTGTTGAAAATATGCGTATCTTTGGGAATTTTTATCGGCGAAAGTATTCACCTGATCATTCTGAAAACTGTGGGGTTTCATTGAGTGACTATAAGGGTACAAAAAGAATTTTTTTGAGATTTTAAAATTTGTCGCAATTTAGAGTTATAAGGACGTATGTGTAGCGCCTCCATAGCAAGATTTGAAACTGGCGGGGGCTGTAATTTTTTCCCTATTTGACCAAAACAGGGATACATACAATTTTCTTACTCCTCATGAACGTAATTAGTCTATGAACCCTTAAAAACTTGAAAAAGTTGAAAATTGTTAAAACAAGATCACTTTGAAGAAAAAATCGACGTTTCTTCGAAAATTTTACGTATACTTATATATAAAAAGATTGTTTAAATTATTTATTTTGTTCAATTTTTAGGTTCATCGACTAGTACACATATCATAGTATACACATGCAAAATTTCAAGCGAATTGGTAACCTAGTTTTTGAGATATCATTCCGAAAATTTGAAAAAAGTACTTTCGAGGAAAACACAAGGCTCGCATACGTGCGCGCAATAAATATCATATGGGGTCCTTAATATTTTGAAAATTATATTGAAAATTTGGAAATATATTTTAGAAACATTATACTATCGATTAGTATAGTAACAAAAAGTCGATTTTTAAATGTCTGCTTCAGGAGTCCCCGGTAATTCGTACGGGGCTGTTAAGAGTATGAGCAATCGGACCACTATTCCTTCA